ATTACAAAAATGTAACTCCCACCCCTTTTTAGGTAAGCATATGTAGTGATGTTTCAATTACTTCAAGGAATGGAATCTGTAATTATTTCATTCTAAATGTATATAAAGTGTTAATTTTGGTTATCGTACATGAGTTTGCACCATTTCTCAGATGTGATGTGTACTATCACTTTTACCTTTTTCTCTTTGGCCCAAGTTTGCTTTTCTAAACTGGTTTCTTCCATACCTGTTTACCCCAAACTTTGCAAATAAACTTTTGTCACTGTTTAAAAAAAGTGTTAATTTTAATGTCATCCTTATTTACATGAAGGTAAAAGCTTAGGCCTTATAACAATGTAATAATATTGGCAAATGAGAGTTTTCTTTAAAAGAGTTGTACAGCTGGGCGTGGTGGCACACACCTGTAATCCCAGCACTTGGGAGGTTGAGGCAGGAGGATCACTGTGAGTTTGAGACCAGCCTGGGCTGCATAGTGAGTTCCAGATCAGTCTCAACTACATAGTGAGGCCCTGTCTCAACTCCCGCCCCCCAAAAAAGAGTTCTACATCTTGGAGTGATGCCCAAACTACTGGTTATAACACAACTGAGCAATTCATGGTTGTTACGAACTTCTATCACTGCCAGTCTCCTTACACAGTGAGGTAAGAGACTCTAGTACTTTATAAAGCCAGCCAAAGGCAAACTAAGATATAGTCTGATGCTGTCTGGATGGTTTGTGGCTAGATGAAGAACAATGGATGGTAACCCTTTACCCACCCAGAGTACGGCTCATGTGATCCCTCAGGAAGAAGTCTACCTGAAAACCTAATGAACTCATTTCTCTGTTCTTCTCAAGTGACAGATAAACCTGGAGGGCAGCATCAATAGGGCTGTTCACCTGGGCAGAGGTGGGTCACTCTGGCCATGACCTGGGAGGGGTGCATCTCCCTTCCTGGCATCTGTTAAACTCTGCTTCCTGGTTGCCATAAATTGCTTTCTTGCTCCATGACAGGCCCTTCCGCCATGCTGCTTCTGCCTTGGAGACAGCTGACGATGGATGGAAACCTCAGCGAACTGTGAGCCACAATAAACCTCTTCTCAAGTTGTAGGTCCTGGGTGTTGTGTCTTGGCAATGAGGAAAGTGACTAAGACTGGAACCTTCCTTTTTGGACCCTTACGAAGTGATGTTACTTTACTAAACATGTAGTACACATCAGACACTGAGTTATTTCATTTCCTCTTCACAACAAGCCTATGATGTACTGGGCCATGTTCTCATTTTACAAATTGGAAGTGAGGTTAGAGAAGCTACAGAAGATACATGAGGATTAAATGGTTAAGACAGGATTCAAATTTATAACTCCTGGGCTCACATATCTTGAGGTGCTGTGGATGTAACCTAGGGTCCTAAGCATCCTCAAGGCCCAGCCCCCATGGGGTTTAAAATCACAATATACAGCTTTGATACATTTAGAGCATACTTAAATTTTGTTCTTCCTCATAGTTCACTATGGATATTTTAAAATGTGCGGGTTGTCTGATAGGGAAAATTATCTAACTTCTAATTATTACTCCAAAACATCTTTTCAAACTAACACAACTCACACAAAAAAAATTCTTAAACATATCACTTATTACTAAATATGCAGTAGCTAGAAGTAATCTTTTTCCAAACAAGCCCATTTCAGATCTGATTTGTGTTGTGGCCCTCATGAAATAGCAAGCTATTAAGACTAAGGCCCATGCATAGTTGCTTTCTGTCTCTCCAAATGTAACAAGCTTTTTATGTAGTCCGTACCCACAAGTTGATTTGGTCAACTGAGTGAAGCCAAGTAGGATGAGATCATAATCATTTTATTTCCATTTTGCTTTCAACACTCTGAATGTAAGAAAATGTGTTCCAAAATAAACATTCTGTGGTTCAATTAAGCGTTTAAAACATTAAAGCCTACAGTTCAAGTTATAAAATGCTCACAGTATAAAAATGAATATTTGAACTAAAATTCAAAGTAGGTCCATATCTATATAAACACTTCCAAAAGCAGCTTAATTTCATATAAACGGAATGACTTTCTTGTACATATACAAATGAATTTATTACATAATTACAACACAAACATACAGGAGAATTAATTTTGCAAAGGTGAAAGAGAACCTAATGCCTTTATCCATCATGGGAAACCACCTACAGTATTCCCAGATACATCATAATCACAAAAGCAGCCATGTAAGGACATCCCATGGATGACACTGCCACCTAGTGGCCATTTTTCTCTACAGGCGCTCACTCTCTACTGGTATACTTAGGGATGCTGAAGACTTGATCACCATCCAATCATATACTTACCCATCTTCATATCTCATCGAATCATAAAGTCCTTAAGGAAGAGACCATCACTTACTAATTTTATTGCCTGCAGTAAGTACTTGTTAATGCAGAGGTGAAAACATGTTCTGGACTTATCCGTGTAAGAAAATGAGAAAGAACATTTCACTCCTCACTCCTTCTGCCCCTTTCGGCCTCTAACTCTCTCTCTTCTGCTCAGGCCTGCATAAAAGCTGCCAACTGTAAAAACCACAGCCGGACTATGTCAAGTTTCTGTTCCTGTGACCACACTGGCGAGGTAAGTGGCACCAAGGAGATTACAGGGAACCCGTTAACTGAAGCAAATTATGCATTATTAAATTTATTATTTCTAAAGACGAAAAAAAAAGTTAACTTTCCCAATTAAAAGGAACTGAGTTGGTAGCAGAATTTCAGAAAGACAAATGCCATTATAATTATCATTCTGATAGTTAACACTTTATTGAGTGCTTATAATGTACTAGGCACTGGTCTTATGGCTTTAGGTGCATTATCTTATATAGTGCTTAAAACAACTGTACAAAGTAGTTATGAATCCTATTTTAACAGTTAGAAAAGTTAGGCAGGAAAGAGGAAAAGAGATATAAACCTTACTTTAAGTTGTTTCCACTATTAAGTGAAAAAGCTGGAATTTGAACCCAGGTAATTTATCTGTTCTTGGCAGGGAACTAAAACAACAGAAAAGGTGATAATTGAGTTTTTAGAAATACGCAAATACTCCCAATAAAGTATTTTTGGAAAAAAAATTTAATAGATTTACCTGTTCTCTACATTACTCTAAAAATTGATTCTTTACTGAATTACAGTAAGTATTCTCTGGAAGACATTTTTTGCTGGACACAACAATACACCTTATCCACAACTTAAAGGAGAAGTTTCGTTTCAAACTTAGTTTCAGATTTTTCAGTCCCTGGTAATTAGGCTCAGGAATATCATGGTGCAAGGGTCTAGAAGAGCAAAGGTGTTTAGCTCATGGAGGTCGAGGAGCAGAGCGGAGGAACAGGGCCAAAGAAGGGGTAAGTGGCCAGATATAGGACCATGACCCAGGTCATGTTTTCATGGATCACTCAGACACACCCAAAAGTCTGCCTCACCAATCTCCTGCGGTTCCCAAACCAATCCAGTTGACCCAGTCAAGCTTATTCCACCCCATCAACTTGACAACAGCCTCTTTAACCCATATATAATCTCTAAATAGATACATTAACAAGTTAACGATTCTACCCACCACGTGACAACCATCCTGCATATAACTGAGAATACAATAATCCCTTCCCCAAATCTCAACAGTTCCAGTGTTTTTCCAAAGTCCAAGTCAAAGTTTGTTCTGAAACTCCAGGCAAATTCTTAGCTGTGAACCTCTGCAAAACTAAAATCAAGTTACATAATCCCAAGTTACAATGGCACAAAGTAAACATTCCTAATCCAAAAAGGAGAAACAGGTAGAAAGAAAAGGAGAGGAATAAAGAATGAAGCCTAGGTCAAACATTAAATTCTGTGGCTCCATGTCCAGCATCCAGGGTAAAGGATGATGAAATACTTTGCGGTCCCGGTGGCCCGAGTGGCCCTATCCCTATGGCCTTGCTGGTTGCAGCCTACAAAGCCTCTCTTGGGCTGGCTTTCTTCAGCAGATGTTCCTCTTTTTGGCATCTTCGAGTTACGGATGTCTCCACTGCACCTTCACTTTCATTCCCATAGCGTGACACACCGACCTCAGTGGTTCCTTGCCTGATCTCCCAGGCTTTCTTTTGAAATCTGGGTGGAAACCTTCCTGAACCCAAAACTTACATTCTGCATCCAGGTAAAGTCGCCACTATGTGGACAATGCCAAGGTATGCTGTTAGCAGCAGGAACAAGGCCCCCTTGCACTATGGGTGTAGTGATTGCTGAGCAGAATGAAGTAAATCCTGGGGAACAACTTCCCTAGGAGACCCTCGAGCGGGGGTCCCAGGGACTCTTCTCAAAAGAAAGGTTTACACATGTGTACCCTTGAGCCTTTGATGGGTGTGGTCTTGCTGATTTCTGAGATGCCCTGAACACCATCTTTTTTTTTTGATCCAGTAAAAACTATTGTTTTCTTTTTAATGGCGCTAATATCCTCAGCAACCACTCCTCCTTTGACTTCAACTTTATATGGTTCCTTTGGGACCAAAATTTATATTCTTCAAATCTTTCTGCTCTTTGCTGATCAATTCTCATCATAAATCTGGCTACTGGCAGTCAGTTGTTCTCATGCCACTATCTGAATGTCAGAACACATTAAAATTTCCTCTGCTAGATAAATTAGTCCACTGCCTTTAAACTCAGTCTCCCACAAAGTTTTAGGACATGGGCAACATGCAGACAATTTTTTTATTACCAGAGTATAACACACATGGCCAGTAGTCCAACTGTCAATGAAGTCCTTGTTCCCAAATAAAACCTCCCAATACTGGGATTTTACTGTCTACATTCCTATAAGCATTCTGGTCTGTGGGAGACTGCAATATTGACTATGCCCAAAGCAGGCTGTAAGCAGTACAGGCTCTAAAGAGTTAACCCCACAATCGGTCACAACTGGCTTCTTTTTAGAAATGAGTCTGGCCAAAGCCTACATGCTAAGGTCAGAGTAACTCGTACCCAAATTCCATTCCTACAGCTAAAACTTTCTTAACTAGAAGGATGATATTCTAATTACCATATATTGTCTATTCTGCTCCTAATTCAAGAATGCTTTGGCTTGTCCAAGGGTTAATTTCCATACAAATTGCATGACTGCACGTCTTCACACATAGTTCTGCCCTTGTACATAGCTCGCCTGTATCCCAACTTATTACCAATAAAAATCAGTGGCTTGAACTGGCCAGCACCTTTGTTGGTTGTGTACCAGCACGGGTTGTCCTGGTGTCCCACTTTCAGTCTCTTAGTTCTGTCTTCTAGTTTATTCCCTCAGGCCTGCACCATACACTGAGCAGGAGACTGGAGCCCACTGCAGAGGGTTCCAGTAACATTTCAGGGGTCCTCCATATGGGTCTTCTAACCTCTAACCAGAATCACTCATCTGGCTCAGTATACAGAACTTCATGGCTTCTCTAGCACACATCTCCAAACCTTTCCGAATCTCTCCTGCAAACAGGTTTCCAAGGCTTCTACATCACATGGTCAGGTACAATCACCACAAACACCACTCTCCTGGTACCAATTTTTCTGTTTAGCTTTCTTGCTGCTAGACACAAGACTTAACACTCACAACTTAAATGAGAGGTTTAATTTGGCTCATGGTTTCAGAGGATTCAGTCCATGATCATCACACGCCAAAGCACAAACACTGTGCAGTCAGGTAGAGTGGTGCAAAGCTCAGTTCATGGCAACAGAGAAGCAAAGGAGAGCAGTACATCAGAGAGGAAGGGGTGAGGGATGAGATACACACGCCAAAGTCATGCCTCCATGAAACGCCCAGACACACCCAGAAGTCTGCCTCACCAATGCCCTGGGCAGTTCCAAGACAAGTTGACCCAATGATGATTAACCACCACATTGTACATTGAGAATGAGTTTATTTATTTACTTATGTACTGACCTTGGTCCAAAACAGACTAAAGGTGCTGAAAATAAGAGTAACTTGAAAAAATATGTAACAGAAATATCTAATATCTTAAGCAATATATTAGTCTCCCCAAAAGCTGGATGCTTCCAAACTTGATTTAATATTTTGGATGTTTTCTCTCCGTTGCTTAGTAAATATATTTGCTTCTCCTTTCTGTAGTCGACGTCTGACAGCTGATTTTTGCTGTTTTGTTAACTGACGTTTCACCTTCTGTTTTACCAATTCCTGGAGAGATTTTTATAAATTAGTATCACTGAGAATCAAGGAGTACAAATTCACTAAAACAAAAATCTAATTGCTAGCATCTTTCCAATTTGTTATGAAGTATGAATTTTTAAAATCCCACTGATAATACTACATAAACTAGCAATAAAGTAAAACAGGAAAAAGTGATAAAATATGGAAGTAAATTCCTAACATAGATTACATATCAAAAAAGGATCACATACCATAACACAATAGTTTAAATAACAAATCACCATGGTGCCACCTACTGTCCACAAGAAAACTTAAGTAAAAAAGCAAGTTGAAGAAAACTATTCCTTCACCCTGACCCTGCTTCCCTCGTTCCCACCCAAAGCTGCTCAGGCTGGCCTTGCGATCGTATCTTTCTCAGCCTACTGAGTAGATGGGATTACAGGTGTGTGCCATTATGTTCAACTATACATGATTTTTTTTAGGGGGTGCTGGGGATTGAACTCTGGACATTGAGCTTGTGAAGCGGGCAGCAGAACCACTGAGCTAAATCCCCAGCCCTACATATGATTTTGTAACAGAAAATCATTTTTTAAAGCATTAACTATTGACTAGAATATCCAAGAATGCCTTCACAACTTAGCAGTAGAAATGACCTGACAACGTCTGATGTTCCATGTGATACTGATTCCTCATCTCAAGACGGCCTGCAACATAGAAGAACCTGACATTCTACAAGTTTACAGACTGAAAAGTGGAACAGGCTAAGTTTTAGGACTCTACCCTATCCCAGGAAACTGTTTAGGAACTCTGAGTCCCTCCTATACCAATAAAAGACTAGAACCCAAAATAGAGGCCTACAGAGTATTTACAAAGGGTGGTTTGGTGCAGGGGCGTCAATATTTTCTCCTAATTTCTACTTGTTTACAATGAGACTACAATGATATCAAGCAAACTAAGGAAATGATGGATTAATAGGCATAGAATGCCACTCATATTTGAAGAATTTACAAAGCCTGTAAGGTTATTTTATGTTAAAAAAAAAGGGAGAAAATGCCACTTGTTTTAAAAGTTGGTATAATGGAAAGTAAAATCAAATACTTGTGTGTTATTTTAGGGAGTACATAAAAATTAATGAAGACCATGTTGCTTTTTCATTGTTAAAAAAGTTCTACTAGTTGGTAGCCATGTGCATATTTATTAAAAAGCAGTGTATCTTTTTGTTGAATTATAATTTAATTCAGTTACATATTATTAAGGACACAGTTTACAAATGGCCAACAAATACAAATTATAAAAATATTTTTAGAAACAGATTTTGCAATTATAATTTCAAAGAGAATAAAGGAATCCTTTGCCTTTGTACAGATACTAAAACAATAATCAAGTCAATGGAGGTAACAAAGTTCTCTGTATGTTTATTTTCCTCTGAGACAGGGTGGGTCTCACTAGGCAGTTCAGGCTGTCCTTGAACTTGTTATATATAGCCCAGGCTGGCCTTGAGCTCAAGGTGATCCTCCTGCCTCAGCTTCCTGAGTGCTGGGATTACAGGTGTGTACCTCCTAACTTTTTTTTTTTCCTTTTTGGTACCAGGAATTGAACTCAGGGCCTCACACTTGCCAGGCAGGTGCTGCACTGCTGAGCTACATTCTCGGCCCTCCTTCCATTTTTTTTTTTTTCAATTTAATTTAATTTTTTTTTTGGTACTGGGGATCGAACTCAGGTACTTGCGCTTTCAAGGCAGGCCACCGAACCGCTGAGCTAAACCCCTGGCCCTTCCTAACTTTTTAATGAAATAAAATGTGACTTCCAAGGAAAAGTGTGATAAAAATTTCAAGAAGATGCAAAGTTGAGATGATAATTTTGCTTTAAGTGATCAGAGAAAATAGGCTGAATGGATCTTTTTCTTCCTTCCTTAAAAATTTGTATTTTATAATGTAATTCATAAAACCCAAGATGTAAGAGGTAAATACTTGACCCACTCTAAACTTATGTTCTTTTAGCTCTATGAGGCATATAAAAATCAGATTAAAGGAGTAAGACCTAATGGTTAAAACATACAAACATAATCTTAACTTGGCCTCTGACATTGTCAGTACCATCATCTTTATACACAGAGTAACACAGAAATTAGAATTTAAGGATGTGGCATAAATTAGTAATATAATTTTCATATATGCAGTTACCAAATTTATTAGCTAATTAGCTATAAAAATGTTTTAATTTTGAGAAATCAAAGAAAGGAAGGCAAATAAATTCCCGATATCTAAATAAAGCAGAGGGAAAAGGTGATCCTGAATGGTGAGAAATCTATACTAAAGGCAGCTGATAACACTTAAAAGGAGATCTTTTAAAATAATTACTATATACTTCATAGATTTCAGTTTTGTTCAGGAAAATCAAGGTAATTCCCAGGCCCTCAGAAAGAGTATATGAAAGCAATGACATTTCTAGATTTTACCTTATTAGTTTAATAAGCTCTAAACATTCTGAGATAAAGTAACGCCCTGGAACTATGGTACATTATGAATTATAGGACTCTCACTTTTACCTTTTGGTAAACCCTATACTACCAACCACACAACATATATTTATTGAGTATTTCTGAATCTGGATTAAGAAGGAAGGAAAAAGAAGTTATTTATATTATTTTCAAATCACTGCAGATCTAATCACTTTATTTTCTCCTTCCTTATTTTCTTAACCCGCTTTCCTTCTTTTGCTCATAAATTACCATTAAATTCTGGCTCCAGGGGTACTCATCTCAAACAGGAGTGAAAAAAAATCCAACACCCCAATTATGTAATTTTAATTTATGAAAAAAAGAGATAAATTACTTTGTTGCTTTATCTTAATGTTGGACAGATAATTTTTTAGAAAGCCCAAACTAATTTCCAAAATACTGCTTAATTCAGTAATAAGGCTAGGAAATAATATATTCTGCTGTGGACTTACACACTAGTTTCTGTTGACTGACTATCAAGAACTCCGGAAGAGTAGCTGTTTTATAATTCACCAGAGAAATCACACTTGTAAATTCATGTCATTTTAAAATGGCAAGTAGAGTGACATGTCTTTATAATACTGACGTCAGGAAGCAGGAGAGAGAATACCTTCATAGGCCAGGGAGACCAGCTCTTCTCTGAGAGAGTGATTACCTCTAAACTGGATCCTCCTTCTGGCTAGGTCTGAAAGAAGGCTGGCAGACAAAAATGCTCCTCAGGGGGAGCAAGAATATTTTTGTTTATAGTCCTGTCTACAAAAACGTCCCTTTTGTGATTTTTGGGGAGCACTGTTGATAACTGTCCAAAGAATTCAACAAACATTTTAGATACCAAAAGTGGTAAAACTATCTTATTTTTCCCTCTCAAAATTGGTGAAAAAATAAGATTGTGAAGGCGGCTTCACACTTTACCATTATAGTCGCATTGCTGTTATTAGTTACATAACTTTTAAAAAAGTCACATGACCTGTCTGGGCTTCATTTTCCTCATTGTTAAGTGAAAGGACCAATCCACACAAGAATCTACCAAGTCCCTTGGAAATAAAATATTTATGACTTTTATCCTTCAAGTTCAAGGTAATTGATATACCACTTTTTTCCTAAAAACTCTGATTATTCCAGTTAAAGGCAAAGCCTCTCTCATATACTACGAAATTTTTACCTTTTATAATTTTTAACGTGCACATGGGAGGTCCAGACATCCAAGAGTATCTTATAATCTTGTAAGTGCCTGTGCTCATTAATCTGTCCATAGCAGTGATTTAGTCAGTGTTGGTAAACATACAAATACTTACTGGAGGAATTGTTGAACAGCTTACAACGCTGCCTGCAGAAGTAATACTCAGCGTTCTTGTTCTATACGGATCGATATTTCCCACGTTTTCTTGATCTCTAGAATAAAATTTAAAAAGTCCATAATTCACCTAGTTAATTCTTATAATGGCACCATGCTTGACTGCATTAATTTATATTTTACCTGACAGCAAATTCTGACATTCTTCAGAAAAATTATATTTAAAATTTGAGGGTAAAATTACCTACCATTCAGCTTGAGATATTAACAATTTTCAATTTCAACATTGTTAGTCACTACCAAAATTTCACAAGGACATAGAAATCTCAGATCTCTCAATATATCAGAACATCTCAAAGTTTATCACTTCCTTACAACTGCCATCCTATAAATCTACCTATTGGACTAGAGTCAAGAAATCAATAAAAATCTATACCTGAAAGCCCTGAATTCTTTGTTTAATGATGGCAGGTTAATGAGATGAGGGCAGTCATCTTCTTCCTCCTCAGAGCCAGCAGGGCTTCCTCCCTCACCTGTCTGGTCTTCTTGCATGGTGTCATTTTCAGTTGAGTTCTCCTCAGAAAACTCAGTTGTACAACTATTTTCAACAATCTGCCCTTTTACTTCTTCTAAAGGTTGATTGAATTCAGTCATTTCAAAACTGTGTGCATTGACACTCTCTTCTAAGCTGTCTCCTTCTGTCTGTTCACGGTCTCCAAATGAGCTGGAGTAGCAGCCTCTTGATTCGACAGTATTCTGTTCACTTTCAACTTCTGACCTACAAACTTTTGCTTTTTCTGATACCTCATCATCAGAAAAGGAGAAACTGGATCCCTCCATTTCAGTGATTTTATCATCTGGACCTGCTGGATGTAGGAGTTCATCATCTGCCTGCATTTCCTTCGTATAACCACTGGCAGAAACCTCAACATCAAGAGAATCTTCCCTCCTGGAAGAGAAAAAAGTGTTTTATGTTGAAAGAGACAAAAAAAAAAAAATCTATTTGGGATGAATAAATATCTACAACTCTGATAAAATACGGTTCTCAAATAAGTTGCAATATTTTTCTTTGCCTAAAACATAATACTTAAATTAAATATATAACTACAAAAGATATATGCTGGCTATCATTTTAAGAATGACAGACTGAAAAGCAAAACATATTAGTAAGAAGTTATATAGAAACTTTAGTTATTATTAATTTACTAAGTGAAGGTTCAAAGGGATCTACATTTAAAATAATTACAACCCACCCAAATTAGGAAATATCTAAAGTGTATAAAACAAATGAGAAAACTTAGCAAATGTACATAATTATGTCCCAAGAATCAAAGACAGTTTATGTTCTAAATAAAGAAAAAATATGAATTAAAAAAAATAATTTGGGGGAGCCGGGGATTTAGCTCAGCGGTTCAGTGGCCTGCCTTGCAAGCGCAAGGACCCGAGTTCAATCCCCGGTACCAAAAAAAAAAAATTTGGTTTTACTCCTGATGAGTGGGTTTTCTGCATAGCACCCAAAACAGAATAAGTTTTTGAACTTATAAGAAATCATATGTGTGTGTGTGTGTATACAACTATAAATCTATCTATAGATATACAGATACACACACACACACACACACACACACACACACACACTCTCTACCTCAAAATTAACAGCAGTTCCTTCATGGTCTAAAGACAAGTATTTTCACATTTTAAACTTTCACTGATGTACTCCATTCACATGTTAATAGCAATCATGATGCGTCAAAGATCACTATTAAATATATATTTTTTGGATGATAGTGTTAAGCTTTAGAACTAAATAAGTTCTGAGGGTCTTATCATTTTAAGGAATGCTGAGGACAAACCTGATATCACTAAAGACTGGATAAAGCTCACTTTCATAGCCAAAACGTCTCATGAAGAAATCTCTGATGCATTTAACATCTCTGTCAAAATACCTGCAAAAGCAAAGAAAAAAAAAATTTTGATATAGCCTTTGTTGATCATTTTTTCTCTAATTAGCCAATGACAATGTCTTTACTATTTATTCTGATATTGGTTTCTTACACAAAGGAGAAAAAAAATAGTTACATGAAAGAAAAATCAATCAGCTGCCTGCGTACTTGAAAAAACTAAAACATGAGAAAATCTCAAGGAATATACCAATATAGTTCGTTTGGTTAGAAGAGCCAAGATTTTCTTACACTGCTACTCAGTACACAGTAAAATGTACTGGGTGTGAGGAAGACAAGTAACCAGAATAGGTGACCACAAGTCTAGAGTGTGGAAGCAGGTTTCCACTTACCCTCTGAAGTCACCAGTCTGTCTGGTGAAGCTTCCCATCAGCAATCTCTACTAGAACCCACTGCCAAGTGGGAAAGCTGAAGACAGAAGATTAATGACTCACAAGGAAATTGGAACACTTATACCTTTATTATTCATAACATCCAAAGAGATAAATAAGCTGTGGCTTATAAATAATTAGCTGAGGGCCAGGGATGTGGCTCAGTGGTGCTGTGCCTGCCTGGCAAGTGCAAGGTCCTGAGTTTGATCCCTGGAATGGGGTGGGGAGGATTAAATAAATAATGATCTGAGGATACATAAAATAGACTGAGAGGTTAGATGGAACTCTGAATACCAGGTTACTTTTCTGGCCATCACAAAGAAGCAAGAAGAGATTCAGTTCTTCAGATTTCCAGGTAACAGATAATTAAGGACAAGATGACATGGAATTGATCACCTTTTTGAAGGTGATCAATAATAACTGCATTATTTTGAAGAAAGATCAAGTGAGGGAATAGGAAGATGATACTACTCTTTTTTGCTCTCAAGGCCCTGGGGAAAATCTTAATAAATTTAAAATTATTCACATTTCCCTAAATAGTTATCCTTTTCAAAAGCAGAGATGAGGCTTATTTATATCTTCATTTCTAGTTCTTAGTACAACTCCTTTGTCCCACTACTGGTTCTTATGAATTCAATCACATTGCTGCTACAAAGAACAATGCTGAACATCATAATCTGTCATCAATCCCATCTCCAACTGGTAGTTCCCAAATGTTCCTTTATTGTGTAACTATGCCATTCCATATTAATAAAAATAGTGATTAGCCAACATAAAATCCAGAGTACTGACCACCCAAGTGGCAGCCATTAATCTTTAGTATTTTTTATTGGAAATATTTTTAAAATGCCTTTTTTTAGCATAAGTACAGTTTCTAATAGAAACCAGGAGGGTAAGCTTCACTCAATATGACTTCTTCAAGATTAAACTTTGAAGAATGAAGACACTGTTATATAAGTGATACCAGTTGCTACTTTGTGAAGAAGTGTCTCATAAAACCTAGAACAGGGAAAGAGAAAAAATACTTAACCTTAAATTTGATTACACTCACTGCATCGTGGAATACAGGTAAGTACAGGAAACAACTGCATCTTGGCTAATTTAAATGATTAAGTAAAGTGAAGCATATGATTATCACAGTATATAAAGTCATTCTGCCCTGTGTCAGGTAAGAAATTTCATGAGAATTCTTTCCTTGTAATAAAAGCTAAAAAACAACGTAAGAAATAATTACCACTGGTCTGGAAACTAGGTCCAGTACAAAACTAAACTTTTACTAAGGCCATCAAGTTCAGAGTTATTCTTGGTGAGGATCTCTTACAGGTAACCATGGAGAGTGAAAAGAGGAAAGACAAAAAGTATGTGGTGCTTCTAGGGTCCCCCTTCTTATGCTTCTACTGTGAGCAGGCTTTTATCTGTTTAAAAAATTGAGCTTCCAACTAAAAGTCTGTTTACAGACTTTGTAACAAAGTGTACCATGTCTAAAAAAGTTTGATTTGAATATCTGTCCAGTTACCGAGTAATTCAATTTTTTTTGATGCTATCATCATACTAGTTTATACAACAGATCTCTTGTCAGCCTTCTGGCTAAGATCAAGTGTAGTTTATACAACAGAAAATTTCTGCAGACTTCTAATACTCAGCAATAATTTTATAAACAGGTTTAAAATAGTGAATTAAAGTACATTGTTTTCCCTTTAAAAATACTAATAAGACTCAGTGGTTCTGCCACCTGCCTCACAAGCATAAGGTCCAGAGTTTGATTCATGGTACCAAAAAAAAAAAAAAAAGAATCTGATAGCAGACATTCTAGTACAATTAGTACAATAGTAGCATATCCTTTAACAAAAGATTTTTTAATAAAATTAAGACCTACAACTTCAAAACAGTCACTAACCCAAATGATAATATAAAATTAGAAATTATGAATAAAAAATATTTCACCACATACAAACACTCTCATATCTACAAATCAATTACAGCATATACCATTCAGCATTGTGATGAGAAGTTGAAACCATCTGTGGAAAATCAATCATGGTGATATGGTCATCTTTATCCAATATGAGATTGAATTCATTGAAATCTCCATGAATCAGACCATGATTTGCAAGTTTGACAATGAGTTCCATGGCTTCATCATATACTGATGCAGGATCTTCAAGGTGGTGTATTTGACATCTGAACAAATTTTAAGAATGAAAATAGGTTATTTGTACAAATTATGATTTTTAACAAAAGTATGTGCGTGTGTGTGTATATGTGTGTGTGTGTGTGTATGTATGTGTATATATATATATATATATATAATTTCTACTGTCTTAGTGATTCTGTCCTTATTCCCATGACTACACATAACATGTCCCAGTTATTAAGAGACCATACTTTGGGATGGGGATTTAGCTCAGTGGTTCTGCTGCCTGCCTCACAAGCACAAGGTAATGAGTTCAATCCCTGGTACCAAAAAAACAAAGCAAAACAAAAAACCCATTAAAAAGCCAAAAAGACCATACCCTGCTTCAATTATGTATCTTATTTCCACTACAACCTCTTTTCTTTAATCTTTTAGAGCCAAACTCTTTTGCCAATTTCTTTCCTCTCCTGGTCTTATGAACCAATTTCAAACAGGTTTTATCCCCCTTATTCCAATGAAACAGTTGTCCAGACTGCCAGTGACTTCCATGTTTCTAAATCCAGATCCTTAGTTATCCTTTCTAGGTAGCTGACCTCTTTCCCCTCCTTTACATATTTCCTTCCCTTAGCTCTTTGGGCACCACGTTATTAGGGTTTTCTCTTACCTCATTCATCATTACTCAGGCCACAACCCTGCTGTCACCATTGACTCCCCTTTCCTTCACACCCAACTTCGATCCCAAATAACTCATGTTGGTCAATTTGCAAAATATAAGACTCAGCACATTTTTTTTTTACCACCTTCATGAGTATCACTGTAATCAGAGCTACTTCAATCTTTTGCCTGAATTACGCCAACAGTCTAACTTGGCTTCTTAAAGTTTTGTTTCTCTTATGTATCTGTTCTTATTAAGAGTAGCTAGACTAATCTTTTAAGACATCAGTTAAATCACATCTTCTCTTAGCTCAAAACAGTCCTACCACTTTCTATTCTGAAGTTGAAAATTCCTTAGAAGAGTCTACAAATCCCAAGTGAACTGACCACCTGCTACCCATGAGATCACTACTTACAACATCCCTCATGTTCTTTAGTCACTCGGCTCCAGCTCCAGCGGCTTCTTCTCAACCGGTGGCTATTAAATATGCTGTCATCCCAGGGCCGGTGTACCTATTCTGTTTGTAATATCCTTTTAGATATCTACATAGCCTCCTCCAATTTCAACTTTCTGCACTCTTAAATTTTCACCTTATTAATAAAACTTATCTTAACTATTCTATGCAAAATAGCAATCTTCTACCCCCACCTTGGTATTTTATCATCCTTACCCTGATTACTTTTATCCACAGCACTTAATTGATACATCATTAATTGATTTATCATCATTTCCTTGTTTAGTTATTTAAGGGATGTCTCTTCTCATCAAAATCTAAGTTTCATGAAGACGGGGACTTTGTTTAGTTCACTGCTGAGCTTAAAAGCATCTAGCATGTAAGAGGCTCAATAAATACCGAATGAGTGAAACACAGAGATTACAAAATCCAAACTAAGTGAAACTGAGTTTTCAATTCGTCTTACAGTCTATTCCTCAAAGTCAACTGCTAACTTCTCAGAAGCAACATTCTACAAATTGAAGAAAAATTTATTCAATAAAATGGAACGAACAGTACATTCATTTATTAGGAGTTACGGTTTCAAGAATAAGAGTACTTACAGAGGATAACCACTTATGAGTTCCATGACCACTGCATGACGATTGTAATCAACTGGCTTTGGAACTGGAAACTTTCTATCGTGTAAAGCCTAAAACATGGCAAAACAGGTATAAGGTATAAGGAAGTTATTACTTTTTAAAGAACAAAAATAAAGTAAATGTACCTTCCCACCCTAGAGGAAAAATACATAAACCTTTATAAAATCACAAACACAATATATGGTTATTTATGCACTGCTATTAATCACTGCAAGAATAAGATGTACATAAAAACAGATTTTAAACCTGTTTGAATTTACTTTTCCTTGAAAAGTGAACATTTATTTATTATGAACTTTGCTAGGGTTACAAAAATGAGCCCTCATGAAGCTGAGTCTCATAGGATATTTCATTCTATTTTGTCTGTGTCATTTGTTGATGTGTGCTTGAAATATTACAATAAAAACAAATTATGATTTAAGGCACAGTCTGTCTTCTGCATAGTAGGAAAAGAAGCATTCCAAAAATCAGACATTTTAGTTTGTATAAAATGACCTTTTTCTCAGAGCACAATATATAACCATCCTGCAAGGCAGAATAAAAATACAATGTTATTTTCAGCTTAATTTAGTTGTTGAAGATACCTGAATATTAAGATATTAAAAAAAAAATCTATGTAGAACCTTATTTTGATGGAGGAAGGTTAAAAATTGAGCATTAGTATTTTTTTCACCATTTTGTAAAATAATTTTTTTCTATCATGGTATAGAAAAGTATTTGTCTACTAATTTGGAATACTAAGGTTTCCTACAGATGGGTTTACAACATACGCACAAGAATGATCAAATATGAATATTTAAATTCTTAAAAGTGTATTATAGTAAAAGACACACGGCCATCAACCACACCACCGCCCACCCCCCGCCCGTCTCCCTTGCTTCAAACACACTGATCTCATGGTTCTTGCCACTCTCTAAAGCAATTCTGGAAAGCCTCTTCTGTGAATGTCTCTAGTTGCAGTCATACCTGCTCTAGTGTCCTGAATCACTTTAAAATGTTGACCTTTCATGGTCATTTTAATTTTGGGAACAGGCAGAAGTAGCACAGTCCTGATCTGATGAGTAAGGTGGATGAGGACACACCTTCATGTTTTGCAAACTGCCTTTCAGTTGGAAGGAGCTTAACAACAGCATTCACCTCATCTTTAAAGACACTCATGAAAGAGGGTTTCCAGAACTGCTTCAGAAAGTGGCACAAATGATGGGGCGTGTCTAAAGGGGGTATTATGAGGGGAATTAATGGCAGTGTGTCCTTTACTGTAATAAATTTTTTAATCTAAACTTTCACTGCATATTTTGAGTCTCCCTTGTATAGTTATATATGAACAGATACATTTCCACACACACAAATATACATCAATAACAATTAAAAATAACGCACTATAAGGAAATCACTAGAAAAATAACAATAATCGAGAGTTAAAAGCAACTGTCTATAAGGACTGAGCCCTGATGCTAGGGAGATGCTCATTTGTAAGGTCTTTTTATTATTTGGTTGAAAAATGAGCTATCTGTATTATCTGATTAAACAATCTGAAATCATTTCAAAAATTACCTTCATATAAGCAAATTCCTTCATGGCAGAGAGACGAGACAAATAAAGCCAAGAAACATTATGCCTGTGCTTATGGTAATCACGCTTGTTTTTCAGATTTCTGAAGGAGGTCCTTCCTAGTCTGTGAAGTTTTAATGCAAACTGCTGTCCTTCTTCATTTGCAACAATGTAAATATCTGGAATCAACATTTTAAAAAGTTCATCATTATACTTTTATTATAGTAATTCTAATTTTATCTGATTTTTTGAATCTGTCACCTTATTTTATATTTGGCAAAACAACTCATATCCCATGGATTCATTATTTTACTTTATATGCCAACATATATTAGTATCTACTACAAATCAGAGATGTAGGAGGTTGAAAAGTTTTTGTTTCCTAGATGTCCAATGCCCCCACTAACATGTCAAAACAACCATTCAATTTAGTGGAGAAACAGGTCTAACTGTTCCTTAATGTTCTGTGAAAGAAGTGATTTAATATCTTCCCTTTCAAAGACATTAAATTTAATTCTTCAGTAGCTTTTATGAATGCTACTCAGTTGTTAGAATATACTCCTATTAAGTAAGAATCTTCTACCAAGTAGTCTTTCAACTATTAAGAGATGCTGTTGCCATGGTGACATTTAGCACACATTCTAGTTACTCATGAAGAAATTCTAATTATTAATTTCTAAGAAAAGAGTGCCAAACAAGCTGATGAAGTCATAATTCAGCACAAATGTTTTGGAAATTTGGTATATCAAAAATTTAAATGCCTTTAAATTGTAAGTACTTGTTACCCTGCTATATATTGAATTACATGTTCCTTCAAAATTCTTATCTTGAAACCCTGATTTCCAGTATAACTGAGAATAGGCCTTCAAAGAGGTACTCAGGATTAAAAGAAGTCAGAGGGTAAGGCCCTCACCTCTAACTAGTGTCTTTATCAGAGAAGGAAGACATACCAGGTGAGAACACTGCAAGAAGTCAGGTGTTTGCAAACTAATGTGAGGCCCTAGGAGAAATCCAACCTTGATCTCACACTTGTACCCTGCAAAACTATGTTTTTGTTTTTAAGCCACCCAATCTGTAGTATTTTGCTAAAGCAGGCCTAGCAACCCAATAGATGTCCCAATAATTCAATTTTAAGATTATATTTACAAATTTATCTACATACATGCGCAGAGACATTGTACATGAGTGTACACTGTATCGCTACTTACAAAAATGATGAAAAGTAACTTAAGCAATCATTAATTAGTGAAATCATTTATGAAACTTCCATACAATGTGATGTCCTGCAATTATGAGAAAGACATGAAATGATATGAAATGATACCAAGAAAGTACCAAGTGGACAAAAGTCAAAATGTAAAATAGTGAATACTCTTGGCTTTCACTTGTGATTATAATGGTATACAAATATTTCTACATACACCCTTAATACATAGAAATGTGCTTATACAGAAAATTTCTATAGGGATATGAAAAAATAAAGGGTATTAGCTTTGGGATGTAGTAATAGGAGACTGAAACATGGGCTAGGAATAAGAGTAGTTTTTATTGCATTCTCCGTTGTACTAATTATCTTGAAATGCAATTAATTCCTTCAAAATTAAAAAAATAAAGACTTTTTTGAAACTAAATTTTTAATTTCATTCTGATTTGGTTCTCATATGTATTACTACAGTATTTGCAAGAGTCAATTCATGATTTTATAATCACAAGCAATATTGACTATATTGTATGCAAGAAACAAAATTAAAAAAAACAGGATGCTTACCCTAGAGTATCTCATACTTCTATTAATGTATTTACTGCCTCCACATACAAACAGACTGTTTGTTCTATTTAGTTCTTTAGCGTTACTTTTTAAATGTATAACATAATCTGAAGCCATGCAAGGCATATAAAGTAGCATAAACATCTTCTTTGGGGTAGACTTTTTAGTAATTCTTTTACTTCTAAGTTTAATTTTGTTTCTTCAATTTAAATAAATACATATATAAACTGTACAATAAACTATACAGAATAAAAAGCAGTAGGGAAGAGACTATGATATAAAGAAATCATTTCCTGTTTTTACTTCTCTTGTCTTGTCATAGAGAATAATTATGCCCAAGTATTTGTTCAATGTTATTTTAGAATGCTTTTTTCAATATGTTTTATACATACTCATCTTTGTGGACATACCACTGTGGTACAAAAACATGTTTTTGGATATTAACTCTCTTATATTACTTCCTCGCAGTTCATATTTTAACTGTTTTAAATGTACAAATTATCATATATAAATAAACAAATAAAGTATTTGCCAAAGAACTGTGTCATTAGCAGAAAATCAATTCTTGATATAATTGCATTTTTAGTGATGAATTAAGGAAATAACTTACTAAATTAATGGCATGTTCATAATCTACACTGCCTCCAACCAACTTTCCAATTTACTATGTAGTTGGAAAAACTGAAAGAGGAATGCTTTCTCAAGGGGAAATATATAAACTAAAGAAAGTGTTTCCAGCAGGACTATTAGGACTTACCTGATTCTTTGCCAACGCCCATCTGGTTTCCAACAGACTCAACCACCTGTCTAGAAGAAAGTGTTTTCAAAGCTAGATAATCATAGCCTGCGTTTGTCAACCGATATCCCTGGACAGCTACACAAAATCAGATGAAACAGACCATATATTAGTTACACTGAAGGGAACAAGTCACAGCAGTTCAAAATATAACAAGAATTTAAAGATGGAAAGTCTCAGCTGGAAAAACAAACTACCTAGACTGACAAGTTTCCAATTTCTTCCTATAATCTGCATTTCTCTAGTGTACAGTTACTCCAAGTGTGACCCACATATGGCCATCAGTCTATAAATGTCTGTGACAAGATAAATATAGAAACTAAAAGGAAGCATTTAACTTCAGAAATTTTTCTACTGATTTGATCAAGAATTATGCTGGTTTTCATATATGTCTGCTAGTCCCTTCTTTCTGGTAATTACTTTTTATTATAGTTTATAAAACTAAAGATCTATAACAGGTTTAAAGAATTAGCCCTAACCACAGAGTTGGAGAAATAATGCTCTAATATAGAGTCCTGTGGCAGACTGAATTTTCTGAAGATGGGAGCAAAAACATCTATCCTACTTGCTCTTCTGAAATGCTATTCCTTTGTCTATCTCCTTTAATCGAGTGGGGTTGGAGATTTTCTTTCAAAAAGCATTATTATTGAAGACTACACCAAAAGGAATCAGTGTAAAAAATCATGAAATACAAAAATCAATAGAAATACCAAGTTTAACATGAACAAAGCTATGAAAACCAATGAGGTCAGGTTTGAATTTCTATTACACTGTCCTTTGAACCACTAGCAGGAATAAACTGTTGAGTGCAGATAACACAGAGTGCAGGTCATTTTTTTTGACCAACAGAATATGGCAGAATGTCATGTCATTTCTTAGTCTAGTGTTTTACTAGTCTAGCAATTTCAATTTTTTGCCTTTTGAATAATTGTGCTGGGGAAAACAATTATCTAAAAATTCACAAATGATGAATTAAAATACTTACTTTTGGTATGCTCCCAAGCTATGAGCTTATGTTTCACTAATTCTCTTAAAATTTTATTACAGCCGCCATGTTTCAGGCTGGCAATTGAAGCAATCAAACTGCAGGGAACTATTTCATGGTTCTTCATGCCCATTTCAACCTGAAATTAAAGAGTTTGTTATGAAATCATAATCAACATAATATCTTTACCAAATCTTTCTAAGAAATTAATTTCTCCTTGAAACTTTCCTGACCATGTCATTCTTCAACTGTGGTCATGGGTAGCTTAACAGCAGGGATACATTCCGAGAAATGCTTCATCACTCAATTCTGTCCTTGTATAAACATGACAAAAAGTACAAAGAAGGCTACAGTGTCATTAGATGATATAATCTTACAGGATTAACATATACATGTAACATCAATGACAGAAATGTTATGTAGCTCCTAACTGTAATTCTAGGACATAATTACTCCTTTACTATTTTCAATTACAATTTGATATATTCACTGATCAGATATTCCCTGTGTCGCTACTTCACTTCAAGGGTAGAAATTGTGAGCACTTGATAAAGTTAATGGTGCATGGCAAATACTACAATAGTTGTGCTAAGGCATTGTAGAAGGTAAACAATGAAAAAGCAAAACCATAAAGACATTCTTCACTTTTGGAGAATTTAAAGAAGTAGCTCAGGTCCCAAGAGAATTTTTAGCTTGTAAGGAAGAACTGATACTTTACACTGACTTTGAGAGGAAGTAGACAAGATGGTATAAAAGAAAAAAAGATTTGGAAATGGCACATACACAAGAAAGTTCTGCATAGAAGGAAATGGTAGTAGATACAGCAGTAACTCAGATGAGACAGCACATGCAGTCCATGCAAGTAAGTCTAGAAAACACTTTTAAGATATAGAGGGCACTCAAATGCAGACAAAGTAGTTTATATTTTATACCAGGAAAACAAAAAACTCTTTAAGACGTTTAAGCAAAGGCTACACATAGCAGAATTCGATTTAGGACACTAATCTAGGAAGAATTTCAAAATGAGTTTCGACAAGACAAAACTGGGGAGGATGTACTGAAAAATTAAGACAGCATTCCAGCTCAGAGGAAACAGTAAACAGAACTGGGCAAGTAGAAGTAACAAGGAGAGAAGGAATTAAAGATCTTTAGTAATAAGAGAGGGTCTGGAAATTGGATGAAGTGGAAAACAGTCAAAGTTGGAGTGGAAAACAGTCAAAGTTGGAAGTAAAGAGTTTTAAAATTAAATTTTTTGGTGGAGTTTGGAAAAGGAGGAAAGAGGTAGACAAAGTTTAGGAATTTCCTTTGAGAACAGTCAAATAAGGATGATGAAAGGAAAATCAGAATGGGTCTATCTCTACTTATGAATGAAGTCATAATTAGAGGAAAACTGCCAATTAAATCTGACAGAAGTGAAAATGAACTGTGAAGTGGATGTAATTACCAAGCAAGCGATAAACATAAAAAATAATGAAGGGTGGGTTGGCAGGTACACTGAAGCCTGTAAATGATCTTCCCAGAAGACCCAGTTGCAGTGACAGGTCACATTTCAGTCTGAGTGAATCAGTTTTGGATGTGAGCTGGAGGTCAGTCTTTGGATTCACGGATCTAAAAAGATTTGGCAATTTCCTGGTCCCATCAGGCATCTCTGGGCTGATTCCATGAGGCAGAGGTTAGACAAGCATGGCATGGAGCCAGCCTACCAGCCAAGCACTTTAAGAACCAACTTTAGGTTAGAATTCTAAGCTGGCTCTTCAATTCTCTGCTTAAATCATGACTTTACTTTTATGTTCAAGAAAATGAAAAGTGAGAGAGAACTGGGGAGTACAGATGCTGTCAATGCTGTCTGTGTGGCCCTAGAATCTCGCGGATACTGTGCTTATGGGGAGCAGGCCCCTTGCTCCTCATAGCAGGAGTGGTGGACTAGAGCTGCTTGGTTGTCAGTGGAGTCTTGGCTAGAAGGTGGTGAAGGAAGATCCACTGAGGCTCCTTCACTTCCACCTTCTAGGACTCTGCAGTTTCTTTGGCTGGCTATACTTTAGTCTGCACCATCTCTCCTAGGCCCATTTGGATACTTCCTTCTCCTTTTGCAAAGTCAGTTTAGCTAAATCTTTACCCTTGATATCTGATCACCCTGAAAATATAATTAGGCTCCACGTTTTCCATCATCTTCCAGGAGATGTTTGACCACCCTGGCCTGCTTTCAGCAAGAATTCTATTAGGTTGGCTTGGTCAGAAACACTCCTGATGTTTCTTCTTAATATTACTATCTTCCATCTAACAGTGCCCATCCCAGCTTCCTCTTTAGCTGTAATGCCCTATTTATTGTCTTCAAAACTGAGCCTGATTCTATTCTGAGGCCTCTTTTCTCCTATTGAAATTGTTCTAAATAAAATTTCTTTATACTGTTGTAAAAATTAAAAAAAAAAGAAGGGCCATGGGCCTTAACTTTTGGGAGCGTTCATAAGGTAAGGGTGACAAGTAAAACTGACATGGGAGGAGCCAAAGAAGCTAAGCGGAAAGGAAGTCAAAGAATAGTAACAACATTGGTAAGATTCAATCGAGACTGGGAAGTTGTACTTAATGACTAGATCATTTCTTTACACAATTCAAAAATAATTTAAATGCCATAGAGTTAATTTTGGATGACAAATTCAGGATCATTTTGGTGGCTACCAGAACTTCACATGTTAAGCTCAACTTCATGCTTTGCCCTACCTTCCCTCATACCTAACACTCTTCCCCTTGACTCCCCTATTTCTGTCAGAGGTACTGATAAATTAATGAAGGTGCCGAGGAAGCAAAGAAAGTATCCTCCAGAGCTGACAATGGGTATTAAAGCCCAGAGAATGGAATAATCTACATGAGGAAAAAAAAAAAAGTGCATTCTAATTTCATATTGACCTTGCATCTGACAGTTTACCACTTAAGTGTTGTGTATTTAAGACTAATTTCAAAATTCTCCAACACAAAGCTTTGCAATAATACAAATATAAATGAAAACAATATTACATATACTGTTGCATAATTCCACATTATATTCTTTATCAGGGCTCACTCTTTACTAAAAGAGAATGGTTCTTAAATAAGTGTACTGATTTATTCTGCAAGTGCCTGCCTAGAGGTAAGTATATATGGATTGATTTTTTGCTATAAAACTAAGACTATAAAGTCAGATTTTGCTACTCACTCATTAAAAATATTCAGTGCTCCCCTCCAATATTTACCAAGCCTGAAAGGCAAGGTATGTATATGATTTAGCTCTCATATTTTCCAGTTCTATTTCCATTAGTCTCTGTCCTACTATGCTCCAGCTATTTTGACTTTTCTTCAAGGACCTGCCTGTCTCAGGGCTTTTACAACTTATTTTTTCCTTTTTATTGAGTTTATTGGTACTTTTTAAGTATACAGTACAGTTACATTCATCATTGGGTTCTTATACCTTTATATGACAGACCTTGGTTCTTGTTTTTTTCCCCATACCCCTGCCCTCCCTTCACTCCCTCCACCCCCCCATTTACATTTCTCATATTTTTTCCTGTTCCTATTTCCTTTTCCCTACCCTTCCCACTTCCCCTAAACCTTTAGCCCTTTTCTTCCTATTTCACATTATCAGTTTTTCCAACTTATTATAGTTGTTTCCTCGGCTTCTGATTCTTTCCAAAGACATCAATTGGGGGAACTTAATGCTCTAGGTCTATACGTAACTCTCCTCAGTAAGGGACTTAAACCTTCTCAGCTACGTGGGAAGCCAAGGGTCAGAGAAGTTTCCTTAGCCAGAGAAATGCAAATGTCTCCCAAGCTCAAGAAGGGCAGCCGAAAGGAAGGAAATAATGAGAAAAGAGGGCCTCTGCTATGCTTGGGGGCGATAAACTCTTAAAAGCCTTTTTAAAATCAGACTCTGACCCTCTTTAAGGAAATTTCTTACTTTCATGGTAGCCTCCGCTTTGTCCCAGGGACCAGATCGCGCCCGCTCCTAGCAAACAGGAAAAGTACGCAACGTAGGAAGACATAAGGGAAAGGCAGGCTTCTTACCGCGGTCAAGACCCTGAAGTCTTCCCGGCTCATGTAACGAAGCTTGGCTACATTTACCTTCCCCATGGCTGCTCCAGAAGCACCCGGAAGGTGCTCACGCGACAGCCGGAGCGCGCAAGGATGCTGGGTAATCTCTCCTGCTTTACAGTTTGCAAGGGTCGCGCCTGCGCCGTGTGGGACTAAAGGTCCTTGTTGCTGGATAAAAGTGCCGAGATGTTTCACTGGCATAAGAGTAATAGAACATCCTCTTTTTCTTATGAAACAATCTTTGTGAAAGGAAAACGTGTTCTGTCTTTTACTTATTCTGTCAGGTGACTGAATTGGCACAATGTAATAATTATCTATAATCCCCAGTTTATTTTTCATATCTGTCAAGACTTTTTGCCTGAGAGACGCGTCCCACAGCAGAGAGAATTTGGTGATTTAATGGGAGGAGCAACTAGACCTAGGCGGAGGAAAAGACTGTGAGCTGGACCAATGAATGCTGTTCCAGGTAGTGATTTAAGCAGTCCCTACCCTCTTCCCTGCGAGGGCACTGGGAGCGGGGAGATAGGGCTGACCTTTCTATTTCGCTTACTGAGGCCCTGCCTTCTTTCGGTCCTCAGCCCAGTGCAGCGCCTCAGTCTGTGGTGTGAGGGGGATGCTGTTACTTCGCGGCACCCAATTACAGGGCACTCTGATGCTAGGGATGGTCCTATTCTGTTCGAATGGGAGTCCATAAACGGCTTAGGGGCTCTAGGAGAGCTGCCCATAATGGGTTTGCAATTCCTCTCCATGCCCCAAGGCATTCAAACGGTACGGGAATGTATAAACAGCTTGGACCCAATAAGTATGTTTCCCATTCCTTCCTTACAACAACTGCAAGTAAACTTGCAGGATAATGTTTGTATTTCTGTCTTACTTCTTGAACTATATTTTAAGTCTTTAAATAGTAAACATTTTAGCACTACTGCTATTGCCCAGGTGCCTCTTCCTTAGTTCATACCTCCGTGGGTGATCAGTTGGTGAAAGGAAAAAAAGCATACTACTGGGTTCATGGATAGGTCACTTTGATAATATGATTGAACTACAGGCCCACTTTGTTACGTTAGAAGTAATCGGGTAATAGTCTTTTAAATGGAAGATCTTTAAGAGATATATTTGGCTATTCATTTGTGTTGGAAGAGAACTAGCTCAAGTCTAAGACATATATGGACTTAGGGACACAAGTGAATAATTTGGTTTGTTGGTCAAGGACATGAAAGGATAAAACCTAGTTGAATTGGAGACAAAATAGTATGATATAGAAAGGAATAAGGCTGAGTATATGGGTGTGGAGAGGAAATCTTTCGATTGAATTTAACACTCACAAGAAAACAACTAACATAAAAAAGTAACTAAACAACCACATATCTAGCTGACATCCAGCCTTTGTCATTGCAATCTATTATCACAGTAAAGGTACAATTATACAAATAAATTAGTGATGGAAACAATGATAGAGGTTAGATGCGGGCCTGACAACATGGGCTGTGATTTACCGAGGTTACTAGTGCTGTTCCTAAGTACTAAGTCCTTTAGTAGTCACCAATGCTTCGTTCCCAGCATGATGCTGTCTCTGGAGAAACTTAACTATATTGGGCCCCTTAGACCATCGAAGGGCCAAAGCCAGAGGTTTACTGACAATTATATATATATATGTGTGTGTATATATATATATATATATTTTTTTATATATAAATATATATTTTATATATATATATATGATTTTTATGTAGTATATGTACTCTATTATATGTACCTTGGTTCATGAATTTAATTCTTCCTACAATTCTGCTTGTAAACCAAATTGGAAAAGAACCAAATCAGATTTCCCATGAAGTGAAGTTGAACCATTGAATTTGATTCAGTTCTCTTTTTATATATATATGGCATAGATTTACTTTTCTTGTCTTCAGGGCCTTAGCTTGAGCCAGTATTTAAAGATGTATAGAAAGTTTGCTGTAACAGCAAGGGACTGCACTTTGCATCCAAAAAATTACAGAAGAATGGACATTACAATGCATATCATACATGCTTATATCACATGCTACACTACAAAGAAGCTGTATGTTAGTGATGGGAATGTCTTTTGAAAGAACAGCATATTGAGGGTACTACTGACATGTAAGCACAGAGGTAATGCCTTGTGAGTTTGGGTTCCTGAACTCCAAAATATCAATAAATTTTATATGGTCCCAATAGGTAGAATGTGTTGGTCTAGGAATCAAAAGTTGGAAATAATATTGGCTCCAGCTATCATTATTCTCAATAGTCCACTTAAGGAGTTTTATTCTTGGTAATTCTGGTTCTGAGGGTTTACAAGTATTGTTTTTTCAGTGGGAAATATTTCTATTAAGATACAGCCAGCATTCAGTTGAACAATAAGCCATGCTGAGATCTTGTCTCAAGGAGGCAAGGCATAGGCGAGTATGAAGATTTCTGGGATGAAGATCTTGGTTATGTCATCAGACAAGTTATAGAGATTAGGAGGCCTACCAGTTTAGAGTAAGAAATTTAAAATAGAAAGTAGCTCCTTGTAATGATGAGTATCAGTTATAGCCCAAGCCTGCTGGGCTGTATAGTTTGTTTTATTTGCCTTCCTTCTCTAAGATTTCCCCTAGGAAAAAATGTTCACTAAAATTCTGAAGTTGCTTTCAGAGCTTAAAATTAGGAAGTAGATCCAAACAATATGAGAATTGGGCTTTAGTGTACACTGTGGTGTATCACCAAGCAAACCATCTATAGAAGTGGTGAGCCCATAGCTTCCATGCTATGTGTAGAGTCCGCTCTGTCAGGATGCAAGTCAGCTCCCCCCAGCATCACCCCACCAGCCAAGCATGGGATAACAACACACATAGGGCAGTGTTGGCACTTAAAAAATAATTTTGTTGGTACATATAAGGTGTACAGTTCAGTGCCATTCTTCGCTGGAAATTTGCACCTTTACATAATCCGTCTTGGTTCTTTTTTTTTCCCCATTCCCCTGCCCTCCCTATCTACAAAGACTATTTCCATTTTTTCTTCTTCTCATGTGAATTCCATTCCCATAGTTCTTTTCCCCTACCCCTCCCATTTCCCCTTCCACTTTGCACCTTTTCTTCCTATTTCAAATTATTTATTATACCTTTTAGTGGAACTTTTCGATAAATAAGTGTATTTGAGGTTGTAGTTTGGGCACTTGGTCTCTAAAAGTTTCACCGTCATTGCTGTACAGGAACAAAGGATTTATTCCCACAGCTACTGAGAGGGTTCCCAGCTAAAAGTGCTTATCTGTTAGTCTGTATTTTAAATCCTAAAAACTATGTATTTTCCAGATGCCTCAACATCCCCATGCACAGGTTGAAAACACTTTGCCCAGTAACCATATGTTCTAGTGTGTTGCAGGTTTGTCCCTGCTACAAGTTCTCCATGTTTTCTCCTTTGACCACTACCTAGTGATATCTAAACCCACCAGTGAAATCTCATACCTTGTGCTAGTTATACTCCACCTTGACCCTCAGTAAGGGCACTCACCTTTGAGTCCTGCCTTTTGTCTCAGCTGCTCACCAGCCTGTTTGAGCCCACTCCTGTGGTGTTCCTTTCATATGGCATTCCTTTCCCCTTGTGTGGTATGTTGTGCCTGCCTCTTCTAGGACACTTGAGTTTCATAAATCACTGTCATATTCATGTTCCTCTCTATATAGTTGTTATTCCATGTCTCCATCAGACAGATCAAGCCAAAAATGTTTTTAAATACAGCCATGTTTTGCATCATAACAGGGATATGTTGTGAGAAACATACTGTTAGGCAGTTTCATCACTGCAAATATAGTGTACTCACACAAAGATAGATGTTAAACACCTAGGTTATATGAGATAGCCTATTTTTTATTAGGCTACAAACCTATGTAACATAGTACCAAATGTGGTAGACAATTATAATACAATTTTAAAATATTTTTGTATCTTAATGTAGAAAATATATAGTAAGAATAAGGCATAAGCAATTAAAAGTATTGCACTAATGTAGAGTATTTACCATGAATGAAGATTTCAGGACTGAAAGTTACTCTGAGTGAGTCACTGAGTAAATGGTGAGTGTGGAGACCCTGGATATTACTATACATGACTATAGACTTTATAAACTGAATGCTGGGCTATACTAAATTTATTTAAATGTTTTTCTTTTATAAACTTTTTAATTTTTAAAAACTTTTACTGTTGTGATAATACTCTAATATAAACACACTATTCAATTGTATAAAATACTTCATATTCTCATTCAGTTAGCTTTGTTCTATTGTAAATTTATTTTTAAAACTTGTTAAACTCATTGAAAACTAAGATGCAACATCTATTTTAGTCTGTGCCTACATAAGGTTCAGATCATTGGTATCACTGTCTTCTACTTGCACATCTTGTCCTGCTGAAGGTCTTCGTGGAAATAACATGCATCAAGCTGTCATATGCTATGATAATGATACCTTCTTCTTGAATCCCACCCTATGTACCTACTGAGGCTCTACTTGGCTAGGTGTCATTCTCTGCAGAAATATGTCCTTGGAAATCTGCTTGGTTTCTTTTTTGTTTGTTTGTTTTCATCATAGATTTGCTTGTTAGGAAATAATGCACATGAACATTCCTCTCTACTAATGAAAACCCTTGATATTAGGAGTCTATATTTTCAGAAATTTTCAGAAGCTTGTAGTAGTTTTTGCTATATCCATTGCTGTGAATTTTCTTCAGGACTCTTTTTCTTCTCTTTTGATTTTTTTTTTCTTGGTGTTTCTAAGGATTGAACCCAGGGAATGGGAGGGCGTGTGGAGTTATAGTCCCAGTTCTTTTAAAATTTATTTTACCTTGTGACAAGATCTCATTAAGTTGCCCAGTCTGGTCGCAAACATGACCCTCTTGTCTCAGCCTCCCAGGTAGCTGGGATTACAAATGTATACCACCATTTCAAGCTGTTTTACTTTTATTTCCCCTCGTCAACTTTGTGTTCACTAGGTGATAACAAAATTTCAGCCTCATTTTATTTTTTTCAGCTGCATTTTAATCTTATGGGATCATTTTCATATATGTAGTTCATCATTAACTGAAATGTCATTATATGGTGTATGTTTGTGATATGATTGTTCCTTCCAGTGAACAGTCTCCACCCATGTGGAATGCTATACTGAATGGAGTCAGATCATCTGAGGTCACACTTCTTTTTGGGCCTACTCAGATTTCAGGACTGATTGGCATGGGTAACTAAAGGCTCAGTCTGTTTGTTCCAACTCCACATAACTCTTAACAATCATCTTGTCTTCAGAGCTCCCTGTACAGTTAACTATGGCTTCCTTTGGTACTGCAGCATAATTCAATTTCTTTATTTGCTTAACCCTGTTTATTTCCATGCTCTCCTCTAAGGTTGATCATAAGAGTATGCCATATTAATACTCAGCATGGTATTGTCTGGTGTCAGAGCTCTATGTGTGACCTGCTGACAAA